TACAACTTCTCTCCTAAGCTTTTATTTTTTTAATTCTTCTCAAGTATAAAACTGAGTGGTGCCTGGAAGTTATAAGTGCCAGAAAATGAGAGGACAGATGAATTTGGTAGGTTTATGGTAAGTAAATGTAAAACATATTCTTTCCTTTGAAGAGCTAAAAAAAAATATTGTTAAAGGAAGATATTCACAAATGACATATGAACACCTGAAAAAATATGTTAAAACAGAGACATCACCTTTAACCTATCCAAATGGCAAATGGCTGCTGGAGACTCAGAAAGGCCACAGACGCTGGGGCTCTCGGTCCAGCCCCAAGAGGTTCATTCCTCTAACTGAGCTCTTCTGTGTGTGTCCATTTGTGGTTAATTTGCAGCTTCTACCCTCCAGCTGGGAATGTAAAGATGGGGAGGCTTCTAGTAAAGATTACCATGAAATTCATCTTTATATCAGTAGGGGAATAATGGAAGTTTATGGAAATAAAGCACTCGTTGTCATGGGGCAGGGTGTGTATCATATTTTAAAGTTTATAGCCTTTGGACACATACAGTGAAAGCATATCGAGATCCTCGGGCAATCTTACCAGCCTTAATATACGCAGCCACCTTCCACTGCTTTACATCACACTTTTTGTCACACTCTTTGTCTACATAAGGGGATCATTTGGTTAGTGAGGGAACCTGGCCATCTGCCCATAATTTATGAACAGTTACTTTATATTCATTGTGACTATTGTAAGTTACACAAAGGGATGAACCCCTTTTGGGGAGGGAGGTAGTTTTAAAAAAAACGTGATTTTTAAAAAATGGCCCAATCATGGAAGCATGGAACAGATTGACAAATTTCAGAGGGAAGTTGGCATGGGGTTGGGGGGGTGGAGAGATTAAGTGGGGAATTTATATGCATATATGCATAACCCATGGATACAGACAATAGTGTGGTGAAGGCCTGAGAGAGGTGTGTGCGGTGTAGGGGGGGAGGTGTTAATGTCGAAACAAAAGGGGACCTGTAATACTTTCAAAAATACAGATACATTTTCTTAAATGGCCCAATAAAGAAAGCCGACTTGTGGTATTGGAGATGGAAATGAAGAATCTGAGAACGTAATGGCTCTCGGACTGAAAATAAAAGGTTTGCTTGACTGTAGAAGTGCAATATCTCATTCAGTAATAGCTTCCATCTCCCAGGTGAATGAATCCAAGTGATCTCTACACAGAAATGAGAGAAGAATTTAACAGAACTATTTCAGTAAGTGTTCCGAACAGTGAAAAAATTACTCACCAAGTGAGAGACAACAGTTGTGAAAGCTGAAAATGAGGTTTATTTGTCATGTGAATGGTAAACACAGGAAACAAATATATCTTGGCAGAAATGTCCTTCAGGGCAAAGTCAGGAACTTGCAAATATACATTCTTCAATTATAAATGGTAAAGGTACTAGTGAGCCTGTCCAAACAAAGTTTACCATTGAGTAAATATTGGTGGGAGAGTTTTAAAAACTGTTTTTCCTTGCTTACCGTAAATTTAATTAAAGAAAGAACATTACTGGCTTCCTTGACTTACTACTTTTGTGTTTTGGGTTTTTGTTTCTAAATTGAAAAGCTAAAGAGGCTCATTGTGGAAAAAGTCATGAACCAGGATAAATTATCAACACAGAAAAAATATATCTGTATTATGTGGAAATGCTTTGGCACACAGAGATACTCAAGGAAAAATGAGCTTCTGAGTTTCAAACAGGTAAGGGTTGACTATCTCATCTTCTTTGGGGCAATGGTGCAGGCTTCATTATCAAGCTAGATTTGTTCTGCCAATAAGAAAACCTCATGGCATTGAGAAATAACAATGAGAACTTACTGTAGGCATATTGGCTGTACAAAAGAAAGAAATAGTAAGAGAGATAGAAGCTTGGATAATGCCATGTAGAATACAGTTTAGTAATGTTTATTTCAGTAACTGTATTACTTAAGTCATATATTTAGAGAATTACTAATGTCCAAAGGAACCAAATCCAATTGAAAAATGAAAACCAGGAAGTTCTCAGAAAATGAAATGTAAATGCAAACCTAAACATGTGAGAAGGCACTCTTCCCTCTCATAAAATGAAAAGTGCAAATTAAAACTCTACTGAAATAACATTTCTCACCTATTCAATTGGCAAAAATTCAAAAGTTTAACACTATGCCAGCTGTGGGAAAGCTGGAAAGAAACAGGAACTTGCTTACATTGCTGGTGAGTATGCAGAATGTTTCTGTCTCTCAAAGAGCAACTTTGTAATCGCTATCAAAATTGTAAACACATTTACTCTTTGGCTCTGCTAGTCTACATCTGGAACTTTATCTGATAGTATTTCTGTATGTGTACAAAATGATTTTTGTCAGTTATTTACTGAGTATTGCTTGTAACAGAAAATAGAAACTACCCAAATGTCCATCACTCTGGGACTGATGGAATATATTGTAATGAAAAAGCTCTCTATGTATTAATCTTGAAAGATGCCCAGTATGTATCAATAAAAGTAAAGAACTGAACATATTACATTACCTTAAAAAATAATAATAAAGGCAGCTTGGAGTTTTAAAAAAAGGAATAGGTGAGCAGAGAACTAACAAATACATTTATGTTTATATTTACATTAAAGAGACACTGGATAGAGACTCTGGAAGTGATACAACGCTTTGGCAGGTGAGGAGGAGTAGATAGGACTAGGTAGGAAGGAGGCTCCTCAAGATGTGTGGTATTAATTTATTATCTATATGAATATATACTTTGTAAAATAAATAAAACAGTCACTTAAATTTTTCAGTGTTTTTTGTAGTTGGTGTGGAAAAAATGTAAGAGACTCAATGCAGAAACTCTTTTGTGACGATCTTAGATCTTTAAGTGGTCAGGGTCCATGATTAGATTTTAAAGGAGCCTGTGAAATTGAATGCAAAATGTTGTATCTCTTTGCATATGTACATATTTCTAGGAGAACTGTCCAGAGCTTGCATCACATTATTGAAAGAACTCCATGATCCAAAACAATGTGAGAGGTCAAAAATTTGAGCATTCATACAAGTCTCTAAACTTATACTTCCTAAATATGAAGATACTGTATGTCTTGGTAGTTATAAATATGGGTACTGGAATCCAGAGACTGGGGTCGAAGTTCACCACTTATGAGTTGTATGTCTCTGGGCAGTTTATTCAAGCTTTCTAATCTCATGTCTCTTACCTGCAATAGAAAGAAAATAGTAACATCTATTTCAGATGGTATTGTAAGGATGGAATTAAATAGTATATGTAAAGTGTTTAGCAAAATGCCAGACACACAATAAGAGCTCAAAAAATACTGCCCAGTGTAATCATTGAACTGAATATTGGTCCTGTGGTTACATAGAAAATTTTGGAAGGGGTCAGAATATGCACTGAGTTTTGGCCATGTTGAATTTGAGGTGCCTATGGGATACCTAAGTGGATATATCTGGCAGAAAATGAGTTTAAAGGTTTTGAGTGCTGGAAAAGTTAAGCTATGTTATGTTTTTATGTTAAGTTTTCTTTATCTCTATCTACATTCTCTTCCTTGGTGATCTCATCTAGTTTCATGATCATATACTGATAACTCCCAAATATATATATATTCAGAGCTCTCCCTTAAACTCACATCCCAAATACCTACTCAACAAATATTCTTGGATGTTTATAGGCATCTCAGAATTAACATGTTTTTTTTGTGTGTGTTTTTTATTGTTGTTGTTGTTAATCCTCATCCGAGGACATTTTTCCATTGATTTTTAAAGAGAGTGGAAGGGAAAGGGAAAGACAGAGAGAAACATTGATGTGTGAGAGGCACATTGATTGGTTGCCTCCTGCCCGCACCCTGACCAGGGTCAGGGAACCTGCAACCAAGGTACACGCCCTTGACCAGAATCAAACCCAGGACCCTTCAGTTCACAGGCCAACACTCTATCCATTGAGCCAAACCAGCTAGGGTGAGAATTAACATGTTTTAAAATGAATTCCTGACTGTCCCCTACTAATTGACCCAACTATAGCTTTCCACGTCTCAATTAAGAGTATTTCCATTTTTCTACTTACTCAAGAAAAAATTTTGAAGTCATTCTGACTTTTCCCCTCCTATCCCATCCAACATCCAATCCATTCATTCATGCTATTGGCTCTACTACAAAATATATCTATATCCAATTATTTCATGCTCCCTTTCTTGTTACCACTCTGATCCAAACTACTAAAATCCCTCCCACCAGAATTATTGTGACAGTTTCCTAACTGGTTTTTCTGCTTCCACCCTTCTCCCTAGGTGGAATCTCAGGGAGAATCTCAGCACAGCAACCAACCAATTCTTGAAACCAGCACTCCTCTGCTCAAGACCTCAGGGGCTGCCAGCTCACCTGGAATTCAACCACAGTCCTTTCCACAATCATGAGCCTACCCCTTTATTTCTCTCACCTCATTTGCAATTTTTCTTCTCTTGTCTCTACTTTCCAGCCCCACTGACCTCCTTCCTGTTTTTCCAATGTATACCAGAAACAGTCCTACCTTCTATCTGGAATTTTCTTCTTCCAGATTCCATGCGGCTCACTTCTCCGCCTCCTTCAAGTTTTTGCTCAAATGTCATCTTCTCGGTGAGATGTTTCCTGACCAAACCAACCTAAATTGCACCCCCATACTCCCTCTACCCTCCCTCACTGCTTTATTTTTCTGCAGCATTCATCATCAGTTCATGTATTATATATTTCATTTAGTTATTTTATTTGTAAATTATTTATAAGTTATTTTATTTACAAGACCAGAGTGAGGCCATGAAACAGAAAAGACCACAGTGCCCCTCCTGTGCTAAGAGAGAAGGGACCACCAGCTGAGGATGCCAGCAAGATTAGAAACAACTAGGTCGGCAGAAAAGTTCCATAGAGACCAGGGAACAAGACGGCAATACAAGTTCCCACACATAAATCCAAGAGACTCAGTCTTCCACTCCATTCACCATAAACTCTAAAGCCACTTCCCCATACCTCAAGAGGCCAACCTGAAGAGGAGCAGCGAGAAGAGGCATCTGAAAGACAGGAATTACAAGGATTATTAGTTCAGTTGTGTTTAACAGATTTGAACTCAATATAGTGGCCTGTTGGGAACTCAGTAACTTCATCCTGCTCCACTATGCCAACTGTCAGGGACTGGACCTCCTCGATGGAGAAGACATAGGAATTTGTGGGTATATAAGAGAGTCTTTATTGTAGAAACCAGTGGCCATGTAGCCATTGCTAACAAGGAGTCACTAGACAAAACAGTTCTACAAAGCAAAGTCCCATATAGTTGGTAGCCACACACCGGTTAGGTAACAATACATAGTCTCCATAACGCAGGCCCACATAATAGCAGCCTGCCTTACATAGGAGCAGCCCCACCAGTGGCAGCACTGGCTGGTCAGTAACGACTTTATACTACTTAGATAAAAGAGGCTTCTTTCCAAATAGTGACCTCAGTCTTTTGGGTTATAGAAGGGCACACTTGTGCAGTGTGCATACAGATTACTGTGGCCTTGCTCTTGCACCTGTGTATAGTTCTTGGACACCCTGATTAAGAATCGCTTGCTCAGAGTGACCTTGAACATCTAGCATACTCTAAACAGGGCCTCTATACTCCAATTGGTCTTGAGTATCCAGTGTACTTTGAATAGGGTCCCCACATGGCCCCTGCTAAATCAGGAGCATGAAGGCTCCTAAGATAAAAAAACATGTGAATGGATTTTCCCCTGCTGCATTTTAAATTGCAATTGGACACCACCAGCCTGGATTTGCCTAGGGGGTCCTGATGGATCTTGTGTCTGGGTCTTCTCTGTCAGGCTAGCTAGCCTCTCCAACCCTGACCATAATTCATTCAGTCAGTCGGTCATTTTTATTTCAACTGTAAATCGGGGCATCTGAGGCAGAGCAAGAAGAGTCCATTTAGAGATAGAAGAGCGGGTGCCAGCCCTCAGAGCCACTAACTGTGCTCTGTGACTTTTCTGAGTCTCTTTCCTTACCTATAAAATAAGGCTGATATACCCAGCATTGAACTAGCATCTGTGTTGAACAAAATAATAAATATGAAAGATATTGGTATATTTCAAAGTGCTCTGTAAATTTAAAGCATTGTTATGTGGGAACTAAAAAATACTGTCAGTTGACTGCCCACTTTACACTACTGGAGGCTGTAAGTTTGAGCAAGACACATTCCCTACCTAGAGCTTTTGATAATCTCATGCAGCGATGCCTCTGGTTCACCTGGTTTACCCTCTGGGTCCTGCTCTGCTTATCAGAGTCAGTTTGCTTTATGCTGGGAAGGAAGGCTGAGATGAGGAAAATTACAAGGTTGGATTTCAGTCTCTGACACTGAAATGAGTCATTTGATCATCCACAATTCCCTGATCCATGAAAGCAGCCCCTGCACAAAATGCTATGTCCTCGCACACCAGGGAGACAAAAAATACACACACACACACACACACACACACACACACACACACACACACGGACTGAAAGGAAGCTCTGGAGAGCCTGTGCCTTCCAAACTCACATTGGACATCTCTGTCATTCTGTTAAGTGCAAAGCAGAATCTTTAAAGATTCCCTTGCGTAACGTTTGTAATATTGCATATCAATCTCCCAGCTTGTTTACCTCGTTAATTCAGTCTGTATCCTGTAGGGGGGAAACTGAAGTAATCAACCACATAATGAGCTCCTGAAAATTTGCTATTGAAGGGCCTGGAATTAGCCAGATAAGCTGGTGACATTAAGTAAAGTGGTTAGAAAATAACTCATCTCCCCACCTCATGCTGTTAAAACCACACACACACACACACACACACACACACACACACACACACACACACACAATGGTATGTTAATGTTATATATCCACATTGTATATACATTTTAAGTTGAGCATGAAGATAAGCCTTTCATTGCACGTGGTGAAAGAGGGCCCAAAGGAAGCAATATGTGAAGTAGAGAAAACTTAACTTATACCACAGCACACACATTGTGTTTAAGGGTCTAACTCCCTATGGCATTCTGAACATTTCTCTCTGAAACCAGGAACCAGGGTTATAAAAATATATATTTGCACACAAAAACAAAATATATTTTTTTCTCTTCTGTTTTCATCCTCAAGGTGAAATCAAGTTCAAACATATTACTTTTCTTAATGAGGTGGGGGAAGAAAACACACACTGCTTTCTCTCCAAAGACTTCCCAGAGGGAGGAGATAATTAGGCTCCTTCTCTCTGATTAGATATGCAAACTAAGTACAGTGGGGCCTTGACTTACGAGTTTAATTCGTTCTGAGACAGAGCTCATTAAGGAGCTCGTTAACTCAAATTACTCTGTCAACTCAATGCAAAAAATCCGCCGAGAGACAGCTGGTATCTCAAAAAACTCGTTAGTTGGGACACTCGTAAGTCAAGGCCCCACTGTATGAGCAATTACCTGACACCAAGGTACCAGTGGCTGAGGAACTGCTTTCACTCTGAGTTTGCACTGCACAGGCTCCTGGTTGCACAGGCTTCTTAGTTCCTGTCTATTTGGGAACAAAATGAGAATGAGATTACAATGATCCTGTGAGAACACAAAAAGTCTAATTAAATATGAAAGGTCAATCCAGGGAGCAGGAGAATGGAATTGTCTTAAATTCTTACTCCAAATGCTAGCTATCCATTTAAGTTAAGTCTTACTGCTATAGTTAAACAAAAAAATATAGTCTTACAAACTGCTATTTGAATAACAGGTGGGGAGGTAGTGCCCCACACAGCCTAATCCCTGATATGTAGTCCATGCTAGAAATAGCTAAACTCCACTGAGCCTCTTCTATGCATCTTGCATTGGGTTAAATACTCATTCATTCATTTGTTTAAAAAAATACATCTCAGACATGAGGCATGGTTCTGGGTACTTGGATCTCAACTGTGATAGAATCAAACAATCCCCTTTTCTTGTGGTTCAAAACCAACAGACTAAATAAAGGAGATGCAAAATATAAGAGAGAGAGAGAGAGAGAGAGAGAGAGAGAGAGAGAGAGAGAGAGAGAGAGAGGTCAGCTCCCTATTGAGAGTTTTGAGAAAATCAAAATAGAGAAATAGGCCAGTAGAGTGGGAACTATAATACAGTATATAGAGTGGCCACAGAAGACTTCTGAGGAGGAAATTGGTGTGAGAGTTGGAGTTCTCCAAAACCTCCTGGTAGCACATTCTACACAGAAGGCACAGAGTGTGAATGACTTGAGTCAAGAATGAGCTTGATTTTGCAAAGTCCTGAAAGAAAGCTTTGGGCAGATTCTGATTTCCCTCATTTTGTAGATGAAAAAGTTGAGACTCATGAAGTTTAAACAACTTGTCCAAACTCACTTTACACATATTTGCCACTGCTGGGAATTCTTTTACATCTACTTTTACTTCTTGGATAGGCAAATTGTTTCTATTTCATCAAAGCAGTATAAAAAGACATTCATTGGTTTAAAAAAAATGGGCAGAGGACCTGAACAGACACTTTTCCCAAGAAGACATACAAATGGCCAAGAGATATAGGAAAAGATGCTCAACTTCACTAGATATTAGGAACATGCAAATCAAAAGTACAATGAGATACCACCTCACACCTAGTTCAATAAGAACAAGGGTTGGAGAGGCTGTGGGAAAGAAGGAACCATCGTTCACTGCTGGTGGGAATGTAAACTAGTACAGCCACTATGGAAAACAGTATGTAGGTTCCTCAAAAAATTCAAAATACAATTACTGCATAACCCAGCAAACCTTCTTCAGGGTATCTATCCAAAAAATTAAAAGACATTTATTAGCAAAGATATATGCACCCCTGTGTTTATTGCAGTGTTATTCACAGTGGCCAAGACATGGAAATAGATAGTGTCCTTTGATAGATGATTGGATAAAGAAGATGTGGTACATATATATAGTGGAATAACTACTTAGCCATAAGAAAAGATAAAATACTGCCATTTGTGACAACATGGATGGATCTTTAGAATATCTTGCTAAGTGAAATAAATCAGACAGAAAATAGTCAAGAACCATATGATTTCACTCATATATATATAATATAAAACCGAAGTCAACAAGTGAACAAATAAGACAAACAAAAGCTCATAGACACAGACAACAGTATGGTGGTTACCAAAGGGAAGGGGGAAGTGGATAATAAATAGTAGAGGAGGTCAAATATATGGTGACAAAAGAAGAATTAACTCTGGGTGGTGGGCACACAATGCAATATATAGATAATGTATCATAAAATTGTACACCTGAAACCTATATGACCTTATTAACCAATGTCACATCAATAAATTTAATTTAGAAGAAGGCATTCATTGGAAATCCTCTTGCTTTTTTTTCCTGTCCATACCGTTCCATCCCCCATCCCACTCCCTAGCACTAACTAAAAGTGGTTTAGTTTTGCTTTCTTGGATATCATTTATAATTTATGCAAATGCAAGTAAATACAATTCCATATTTTTATCCTGCTTTCTATTAAAATATAATATATTACATAAACTATACTGTGTTTTCCTATTTCACTTAAAAATATATATCCTGGTGCGACTTAGTTGAGTGTCATTCTTGCACCAAGAGGTCACTAGTTCAATTCCCAGTGAGGACACATGCCCAGGTTGTGGGGTTGCAGGCTCAATCCCCAGTAAGGGGCATGCAGGAGACAGCTAATCAACATCTGGTTCCCTCTCACTGATGTTTTTCTATCTCCATCTCCCTTCTTCTCTCTCTCTAAAATCAATAAAAATATATCATTTATTTATATACTAGAGGCCCAGTGCACAAATTTGTGCATGAATGGGAGGTTGGCTGGCCAGCCCCGCCCCTGATCAGGGTGGGGTTGGCAATTGGGGCCCCAATCAGGCTGGTTGGCTGCTGCAGTGCGCATCATAGCGACTGGTCATTCCAGTCATTTCGGTCATTCCATTGTTCCAGTCACTGGGCTTTTATATATATAGATATATTTCCTGAAGACCTTTCCATGACAGTACCTAAAAAGCTTCTCATTTTGCTATATAATCCTCCCCTGTAGAGGTGAAAAATGATTTATGTGATCATTCCTTTGATGATAACCTAGATTGCTTCTAGATTTTTGCTATACAAACAATAAAAAAACTTGTGCATATTACATTTTGTATAGGTGAAATCACTGGGTCAAAGTAATTGATAAAAGTTGCCATAGTGCCTTCCAATGAGGTAATAGATTCTACTCCCACCAGTAATTCCGTTATGTTTCCCTAAAAGCTCATCAAAGGGGAGTTTTGTAAACTTTTGGACTTTTGCCCATCTGATAGGTAAGGAATGTTATCTCTGTATTGTTAATGTCTGGCAGCTCTCTTTATTTAAAGAAATCATTAACCTTTTATTTTGGACATGAGTTGAAATTTTTTCTTAATTTGTCATTTGTTTTTTAATTTTACTTATGGTTTTTTTGTGTGTTGTTGTTTATTTTTTGTTTTGTTTTGTGTGGGTTTTTTTTTTTTTTGCCATGCAGAGATTTAATTTTTTTATTTATTATATTTTTGTTCTTTAAGGTGATCAAATTTTTCAATCCTTTTGTTATGGCATATAGACATTTGTGTCATAGTTACAAAGACTCTCTCCAACTTGAGATTATAAAAAAAATTCACCCGTGTATTCTTCAACCAATATCTTTGTTTTGTTTTACATTTATATAATCCAATATATCCAAAGTTTATCCTTGCATATGGTAACAAGATATGGCTCTAACTTTCAAGAACTGGGACTTAAATTCAGATTAGCCTTTGCTCTTTGGCCATATCTTAAAGCCAGGAAATAGCCTCAAAGAGAAATCTAAATTCTAATACAACCCATTCAAAATTAGTTTTTTGGCCCTAGGCATCACAGGTTTCTGCAGGGTTCTTGGCAGGCTGTTGGGGACATCCTGTTCTTCTCCAGTCTGTTCTCTGGGGTTGAGCCCAAATGACTAGGGTGTGTAAAAGTCACTAAAGAAGGGAGTGATCAACTGCTCTAGGCAGCCTAGGTATGTGATTCATGCTCAAGAGCCACTTCACTTACTATCAGAAAATCTAGGTCTTAGTCCTACCTTGGAACCCTCCTAGCTATAAGATTTGGAGAAACGACTTAATTTCCTTTGGCCTTAGTTATTTCAACTACAGGAGAAGGAGTTTGGACCTTTTCTGCTTGATGTTCTTAGAATTAGTAAGTTACTTAAGGTCTACAATGGTTTGGCCAGACCTTGAATCTGGTGCTATGTCTACTATGTTGTCAATTTCTAGATATAGTGATAAGAATAAAATAAGAGGCACTCACTGCATACCAGGCACTCACTGTTCTAAGCACTTTTTCTGTGTGAACATATTCAACCTTCACAACACTGAGAGGTAGATACTGTCATTATTTTCACTATGTAGATGAAGACAGTGAGGCAGAAAGTTTCAAAAGTCGCCAACCCAAGAAAAAGTGTGACAGAGGGGAAAATGAGAGAAGAAAGATTGTGGTCATAATCCACTATAATTTAAATATCTTCCATTTGTAAATTATACATATACAATGATCATGTGAGCACACTGCCAGCATCTCTCCCAGAGCCTTGAAAGGGACCAATCCAAGTGATAGGTTTTCAGGCAAAAGAAGTAAATCATGCAAATGCATGGAGAAAGGGTATCTTTTGAAGAGAGAACCACTAGTGCCGAAACTTGAAGCAAGAACAAATTTGAGATGTATGAGTCATTGAAAGAAAACCCCCATGTACAGAATGTAGCTGCACCAGCTGCTCCCACTTTCTAACAACTCAGGAACACAAAGGTGGTAAGGCTCTCAGTATGTAACTTCTGCCTAGAAACTCATGTCACTATGAGGAGCTTAAAGGATCATCTGGGATCATCTAACAATCTGCAATGCCTATTGGGTTTCTGACCACGTCTCATGGAGCTCCAAAGACTTAAGCTCCTCACTCCAGCCTCAGCCTCATTGCTACATGTTTCATGCATCTGATTCATACCTTAGATTCTAGAGAAGGAATATCAGAACCAAGGGCTCTATCTCTGGGAAAGGTTGGAAACTCCATAAACCCCAACCCTGTCATTTGATCTGGGAGGACATGGAAGCTCAGAAAGAGGAAATGGTTATCCCAAAGCCACATGTAGATAGGGACAGAGCCACTGCAGGAACTCCAACTTCCTGATTCCCACTCTAGGGCTCCTCCAGTACTCCATGTCATGCTCACTCCTAATCTCCAATAAATTTTCTTTCAGATATTCTTTTAAAACATAGAGAAGTTGAAAGAAGACTATCATCAAAAAAAAAAAAAAGAAAGAAAGAAGACTATCATCAATTTATATTCTCTACCCATCTTATGAGACAAAGATAGAGAGCTGTAGAACTTGCTCAGGGTAATGAATTCCCCATTTGCCAAAACAGAAGCTTGGAAGGGAAAAGTGAATCTTTTGCAGCTATGATTCTACTAATTGAAGTTTTCACTAGGAATTGACTTCCGGTATCTCAATAAAAGTGTTAAGGGATGATGCCTGTGTTT